TAAGGGGCAGCGTGTGACCCTGGCTGCTGGGCTGCCACTCCTAGGAAGCCCCCGGCCGCCATGCTGGCCATTGGACCCGCCCCAGGCGCGCTGCCTTGTTATCCCAGACAAATTCCAGACCCAAGGCCCCCTGAACAGAAACAGCCAGGACCCCGAGAGGCAGACGTGTGCAGAGCCACAACCACCACCAGCCCCCCCGCGCCCCCCCATCCCCGCACGCCTGCTCCTTGCCCTGCCCCAGGCTGAGGCTGAGTCTGTGCTAAGTCTCCACCCCTCCCCCCACCTCCACCACACCCCGGGCTGAGCGGAATTCCCACGGCGGGGGCACAGGAGGTCTGGGTCAGTGGCTCCCTCCCACGGAGCCACACAGCTAGGGCACTAGCAGCTGACTGGGCCTCAGCAGCCACAGGGTCTGCACCCAGCTGCTGCCTATAGAAGTGTATGCGGGGAGCCCCTGAGCCCACCACACAGGGCCCCAGGCCCCCTCAGCAGACGAGTGGGTTCGGGAGGCCAGACAGCACCGCCGAGGGTTGCTGCCCCCAGGGTTGTCCCCACAGGAGAAGCCCCAGGAGGCAGGGGAGGTGGGCTCCGAACCTTAGGATCCCTCAGGCCCAGGGAGGTGTTCCAGCTCCCACCTGGTATCACAAAGTCCGTGGGTCTGTGCGGGGATGGGGGTGCTGATGGTCCCTGCACAGGCAGCTGCAGTCCAGGGACCAGAGTGTCTGGGGTGGGGTGCCAGCCTGGAGGGACCCCCGAGCCAAAGCAGGGGCTGTGGAGAGCTACGCAGGGCAGGGTGGGGTCGGGGGCCCTGGGGTCGCTGACAGGACAGGGCAGAATCTCCAAAGGGACAGCGCACACCTTCCCAAGTTCAAGCGGGCAGGGCTGGGCTGTCAGTGCTGGAAGCCAGAGCTGCCCCTGGGCTCGTCCCAGGCTGGAGTGCGGACGCCTGAGGGATGGTGCCAGGGGTCATGGTGAGGGACTGGCCCAGAAGCCCCCACTGGGCTGCATACTCACGCCACAGGGACCAGGCCTATCTGTAAGGGGGGCAGACAGTGTGAGGGCTCTGTGCAGGGCCTGCGGCCATCCTGCTAGGGCCCAGAGCCACCAGAGCTGGACGGACATTTCCCCTGGGGCTCCTGGCCTGTCTTGTCATCTTCGCCGGGTAGGAGGAGTGCAGACCCTCTCTGCTCCCCCTTTACCCCGCCTTCACCCCTAACCCTGCCCTCTGCTCCCACAGGCCAAGTCCCCTCAGAGCTCAGTGTGGGGGCTGGAGGTATGGCCTTGGGGAGGGGGTCCTGTCACAGATCCCACCAGCCCTGGGGGCCACTGCAGGCTAGCCCTGCCTTTGGGTCACCAAGGGTTTCTGAGCTCCAGGAGGCCTTCCATCAGCATCCCCAGACATGGTCCTGGCCAGATACTGCCCCAGAGACACTGTCATGAGGCCTAAAAGTAAACCCCAAACCCAAGGACTCTACATCACCCAAGCCCTCCAGGAGAGCATCTGAGCCCCAGTTTCCCCAGCCAGGGTGGCCACGTGGGGCTAGGTACACGGTGGGGTCAGCACAGGACACAGAGGGCGCCCCGGCCAACAGGTCCCACCCTTGCCCCCTCCACCCAGCCAAGCCCTTCCATGGGTTCCCTGGATGTGGCAGAGGCTCTATTAAGCGCCGTGGGCTCCTGGGACACCAAGTCCAGCCAGGAGGCCTAGCTCCCCAAGCAGGGGTGGCCCTATGGGGGTCCCCGCATCACACCCTGCCTCCCACAGCCCCTGCCACAAGGCCAGGATCCTCCAAGCCCCACAAAACCCAGCGTCAGCAGCAGGGGCAGCCTGGCCATCCCCTATGGGCTCTTAGCTCCGGGTTCTGAGTCCAGGCCATGGCTGTCCCCATCCTGTGTCCTGACTGCAAGTCCCATGTTCCTGACACCTCTCCTGTGTCCCATATCCTGCATTCCTGTCCCTGTCCCCTGGCCTGACCCCAGGACAAGACTCTGATCTCCTGCCAGGCTGTCCCAACCCAAGTCCTATGCGGGTGGGGTTGTCCCACGTCCCCCTCATTCTCATCAGCCTGGGTCCCCCCCCAACCCTGGACAGCTGTGGGATGAGACTCCCCTTTGAAGCCAGGATGGCCAGGAAGGGTGCGTGTTGGGGGGGCTCACGCCCAAAGTGTCAGAGCGGTAGCCGCCCTTTCAAGTACTCTGGGCTTGGAGGGACCGGCTTATCACCACCCGGGAACAGATCAGGGTGAAGCTTGTAGCCCGGCTCTGTACTGGAGCTCTACCCACTGTGTGCCGTGCCCCCACCAAGGACGCCAGCAGTGGCCTCCTGAAGTGGCCTGTCAGAAGTCCCTGTCCAGCCTGGCATGGCCGGGGGTCACTCTGAGGACACAGCTGGGTCCCTCTCCTCTGCCTCCAAACTGGGAGCTCCCAGGGTAGGGCCCGGGCCCGCCCCACAGAGGACCCCACAAAGCTGGGGACACCAGCTATTGTGTCCTTGCTGGTGGTCCCCAGAGCCTTGACGGCTGCCAGCTGACCTTTCTGCCCAAGCAGTAGGGACCATGGGGGGACAGGGGAAGCCCACCACCCCACCCCCTCTCTCTGTCCCTAGGGCCCCATCCTGGGTGGGGGACCCTGCCCTTAACACCAGCTGAGACTTATCCCCCTGCATCAGACCTGGGAGTCCCCAAGGGGGGACCGGCACCCACAGGGCAGAGGCATGGGCTCAGGAGCAGGGTGGGATGGGCAGAAAGGCCAGGCTCCAAGAGAAGCTCCATTGCTAGTTAGCCACCAGAGGTCTGCTCGAGGAGGCCCAGCCCTGGGACCCCTGGGGCCCCCATCTTTCACAGCCCCTGTACCCGGCCTAGCGTCTATTCTCCCCAGTCTCACCCCTCCCCCATGCCCCGGACCCCACGGTCTGTCCACACTGCTGTCCCCTCCGATGCCCCCACATGTGGTGTGCAGGAACGAGATTCTATCCTGGGAGTGTGGGGCACAGGGTGGTCCCTACAATATGGGGAGGACTCAAAATGGGACCTTGCAACAGAGGGGACAGAAGTCAGGGTCAAGGATTACCCAGGTAGACCCTGAAATCTCCCAGGGGTCATGCAGCACAGAGCGGGAGACATCCCAGGAGAGCAGAAGTACAGGGTAGGGCCAAGGGAGAAGGGTCTGGAAGCCACAGGTGGCCCCTGAAAAGGGCATGAGAGGGGTCTGGACCCATGTGGTCACCCCTAGAGCAGGAGGCTGAGGTCTTTGTGGGACAGGCTGCAGCTGAGGACCCTGAGCCCCAGGTGTGGTAATGAACACATAGGGCTTCAGGGAGACCGGGCAGGGTCCCCATGTATTCACAGAGTCACCAGTCCCTCAGTGCCTGCCTCCCCTCAGAAGCCCTGAAAGGGCACAGGGGGTGTGGAGCCCAGGGCTGCCGGTCTCAGTGAGAGCCAGGACCCAGGGCCCTGCCGGACCTGTCTTGCCCCTGAGAGACGGACCATCAGAACTCCTTGGGGACAAAAGACAGAGGCAGTTCCCATGTGAGGCCCAGGCAGAGACACTGGACCTCAGCTAGGAAGGGCACAGGCACCTTTGGAGGTCCAGGCGGGGGGCAGGAGCTGTACCCTCCCAGGTGCGGGGGGGGCGGGGGAAACGGCTCATTCCCATGGCCTATGGATGTCCTGTAGCCTGAGTTCTCCCCGCCACCCAAGGCTGACTCTCCATCCCACCCCGACCTGGGAGAGAAACACATCCAGGCTCCAGCCCCCACAACCTGTCCTGTCTGGAGAGCATCGGCTGGTCACCAGCTGTGGCTGCCTGAAGCCCCCACAGCTCCCCCTGCTTGCCCAACAGAGCTGCCACAGCTGGCTTCCCATGGTGTCCCCTGAAGTTGGCCGCCACCAGCCCTGCCCAGGCTTGGTCACTGCCTATGGAATCAGGATTGCCCCAGTGCGCCTTCCCTCACGGCTAGCCCCTACCTCCTTGGGGGAGAAAGAGTGGGGTCCATCCTGGGGAGGCCAGGGGTGCCAGTGGAAGAGGGCCAGAGGATGGGGCCTAGCCCCAGACACCAGAGGACAGGGTTCCCAGACCTGCCCTCGGCTAAGGAGAAGGGAGCCAGGGGAGGCTTGGCTCTGACCTTGGGGAGCTCTGGCTGCAAGGAACCAGCAGAACCAGGTAGGGTGCTGAGTGTCCTGGCCTGTAGGGCTGGGCAGAAGCTCTTCGTGTTCCCTCCAGTGCCCCAAACACCAGCAAGGCCCCATTCCTTCAGCCAGACCTTCCGAGGCTCTGGGGACCCGAAGCACCTCAAACGAGTGGCTTTGCTAAAATCATATTATCTTCGTGCCTTTTCTTAAGGCGCGGTGAGTCCCAGCCTCAGGGTCCGCAGCTGGAGTGAGACCATGGTCCATGGCCCAGTAGTGGCTGGCAGACTGGGGACTGCATCCTCTAGGCGGCAGGCACCAGGACAGGGATGACAACGAGGCCCCAGTCCTCTGAGGCCACCAGCTGAAGCCCCAGAGTGTGGGGCAGGGAAACCACAGGCCCTACACTGAGGGCCCTCAGGGCCGTACGGGTAAGAGACGGGACATCCACTGGACCAGGCAGGACTCTAGCTAGCTAGGGAGCTGCTTGCAGGGGTGTGAGTCAGTCAGTGCTCCAAACACGGCCACCTGAGCCCATTTCAGGGCAGCTGACGGGGCCCCGGGACCCTGGGACCCCAAGGTGTCATCCCAGAACCTTAGGCCAACTATAGGACTCCTGGAGCCTGGGCCTGCCACACAGGCCCACAGGCATGGCCACGCACACAGCTGTACACAGACATAAGCACACATGGGCACACAAGCCTGTACACAGACCAGGCCCACAAACATGCCTGTACACAGACCCAGGACCGCACACACGCCTGTACACAGACCCAGGCCCGCACACACACCTGTACACAGACCCAGGCCCGCACACACATGCACACACACACAAGCCAAAGGCAGAAACATTAGCTTAATGGAAGAGGATGCACATTTTCTTGTTTAACAAAATAAATTAAATATACGAAGCTTCAGCTCAAACTCTATATAAAATTACAGAGGTCTGGGGCTGCCACAGGCAGTGGGGCAATGGTGCCCGGCCCTGAGGCAGCCATCCAGTTGGCCAGCAGGCCAGGTGTGTCCTGGGCCTGAGGTCAGGCAGGCTCTGTGTACACCTTCCTTCCAGCATTATTAATATTATTATTTTCTTTTCTTAAATATAAATATCAAGGGCCCTTCGCTCTGGCGAGGGCAGGGTCACCCCCAGGGGGCTCCAGCCTCTCAGGGCAGGAGCCTAGACTGCTCTGCCTGACCTCCCAGCCCGGGAGCCTGGGGAATGCCCGGACAGGTACTGGCAAACATAGCCAGCCACTGGTGGAGGCCTGGGTAGGGACACGGCAGTCGGCACGGGGCAGGCCTCGGGGGTTTGGCCAGGGTCCTCTCAGACCCCTGCCAGGCGCGGGGAGGGGTGGCTTGACCATGGCCCCTGTGGAACCCTCCTCATGGGGCGAGGGGTTCCTTCATCAACTAGCCCATTGCTACATGCACACTGCAAAGTTACCGGCACAGACCTTCCCAGGTATCTTAGTCTGAGGGTATGTGTGTGTGTGTGTGTGTGTGTCCAGAGGTATGTGTCTGTCACCCAGGGCGCCCCAGGGTGCTGACTGTGCCTCCTGCCTAGGCCCCAGCTCTCTGCGTAGCTGCCTGTCCCCCATGGGCCCGCCGCCCCGACCTGGACCCCACAGGGCCAGTGGGCAGAGCCCCACCCCATGGCACTGGCTAGCACTGGTAGTGGATGTGCTGGTGGACCTTGCCCTCCACATGTGAGTGCGTGTGCGAGTGCGTGTGTGTGTGCGTGTGCGTGTGCACGTCCGTGTAGAGTTTGGGATAAAGTCTGGGCCCGGCAGATGGGCCGGGGCCCAGCAGATGCTGGGGTGCCGCCGGAGGCCCGAGCTCCTCGCACAGCCCCACACCAGGGGCAGGGCCGAGGCTGGGGGGCATGGGACGGTCCTTGTCCCCGGCCCGGTCGCGGGCGGCCATGGGCGTGCGGTGTGCAGGCAGAGGCGGGGTGGGCCCGGGTGCGCACGGCTTCTTCTTGGCCTGGCAGAGCCACAGGAGCACGGTGCCAAGGATGAAGACGGCGCCAGCCGGGATGCCGATGACCACGGGCCACGGCAAGCTGGTGGTCGAGGACGAGGGGGCCACGGGGGGCCCTGGTGGCTTGGGGTCTGCAAGAGAGGCCAAGGACGGGGGTGGGGAGAGCAATGTCGCCACAGGTCTCAGGACAGCCCGCGACCGGCCAGCCCGTGGCCTTGCGTGGCGCCTCGCGCAGCCGGGGTGGGAGCAGGGAGGGGGCGCACCTGGCAGCACGGTGAGGAAGGCACTGCGGAAGCTGTAGCCCATGGTGTTGGCCCCCAGGCAGATGTACATGCCGGCATCATCCTGGCGTGCGCGCGCAATGAGCAGCTTGTTGAGGTAGGAGCCGTCAGGCCTCGACCACACATCCCCCGTGGGCAGCACCACGAACTTCTGGCCGCCCACGTCGATGGTGGAGTTGTAGCGGCCCTCGGCACCATACTCCACACGCTTCAGCCACTGGATCACCGGCTTCACATCGCTGCGCACTTTGCACTGGAAGGATGTGGTGCCCCCAAAGTCCACGGTCGTGTTCACGGGGTGCGTGCCCGTGAGGACGGGCTTGGAGCGCGTCCGCTCTGCATGGAGACACAGCGGGTCATCGGCGCCACCTCGGGCCGCCCCCACCCCACCCCCGCCCTGGCCCCAGCCCCCTGCACTCACGGATCACATCCACCTTGTAGGTTGCATTGATGGCGCCTGCACGGTTGGACACACGGCACGTGTACCTGCCACTGTCCTCGGGACGCAGGTTCTTCAGGCTCAGTGTCCACTTCTTCTTCCTGTGCTCCCCGGCCTCCAGGCCCGTCAGGGCCTGGTCGTCCTTCATCCACATGATGTCGGGCCGTGGGTGCCCACTGGCTACGCACTTGAGCCGCACGGAGCTGCCCACGGGCCGAGCGATCACACGACGCCTCATCTTGGAGGGCTGCGTGAAGCGGGGCCGTGCTGCGGAATGGCCAGCACACGGGTGAGCAGGACACTGGGAGGCACCCCCACCCATGCCCAGGGAGGATGGCAATGCCCACCCCTCTCACCCCACTGCTTGCTGGCTGCATCCTCCTGGCCCCCGGGGGCACCGTCGTGCCCCAGATGCTCCCTTCCTGCGCCAGTATCATCTGCAGAGAGGACAGCAAGTGAGGGGGGCCCCAACAGTGCCCCCCCAACCCCAGGCTGGTTCCCAGGCCCTGGCCTCCGGCCCAGCTGGGAGAGCTCTGCAAACACACATGCGCGCCCCCAGGGCACACCCATCTCTCAGAATCCCAGAGACAGCTGGGCAAGAGCTGCCCGCCCAGCCCACTGCCTGGGTGCAGGTGACCCCAACAGAGCCCCCCCGGCTCCGGGGGGTCTGCAGGCCCAGTGGGAGGAGGGGGCCGGGCCCGCCCGGCAGCTGCGGTAACCCTAGCCCACATCAAGGGGGCCGAGGCCTTGGAGAGCTGACATGGCTCACATACCGCCTCGTCACCCTCCCCTCTCAGAGGACAGTGGGGGGGGGGGACACCAGCCGTGTTCCCATTCCACGATCCAGAGCAGGGGGCCCAGTGGGGGTGGGGCAGGCCAAGGAATGCCCTTCCTGTCACAGCCTCCTCCACCCAGCCAGGGACCCAGGGAGGGGGCCGCACAGGTCAAGCTCGCCCCCTTTGCGAGATGGGGCGCCATGGCTGCCAGGGAGCCCCACCTCCAGGCACCCAGCCCAGGAGCCCTCCCGGTACCAGCGAGCCACGGGTGTGTCTCTGGGGACCCCGCCAGCCCCCACACCAGAGCCCCAGAGGCAGAAGAGAACACAAGGCCCTTGGCGGCCCCTCTGAACTCTGAAATCTGAGCCTCAAAGTCAGAGCCGACGCCAAGGCCTGGGCTCCCAGCCGGCCCTTCACAAGACCACCACCCTGGGGCTCTCCCATTCCCACTCCTGCCACCCCCTAGCCAGCCTGAGTCTCCCCGTCAGCAGAGGCTCTGGGGACCCCGCGGCACAGGCCTGAGGAGGAGGGCCCGGGCTGGGGGTGGTGGTCCCAGAGGTCAGGCGCCTGTCCTGGGCTTAGAGGAGGCAGGCAGGTGGGTCTCCTCCTGGTAGCAGCACTGGGGTGGGGTGGGGCCACACAGGGAAGGTCTGCTTCCCGGGCTCACGTGGACTTGGGCTCACACGGCCCCAGCATGGGCATCACTGACCCATCACGATGAGGGTGTAGTTGACGCTGAGGCTGCCGAAGCCGTTGGTGGCCTTGCACACATAGGCGCCGGCGTCCTCCCGCTCCACCTCCTTCACCTTCAGGCCCTGGGGCAGCACCCGGAAGCGGCTCCAACCGCCATGGATGGTGCGGCCGTCCTTGGTCCACATGGTCAGCGGCGGCGGGTCTCCCTCCACGGGGCACTGCAGCCGCACAGTGCGGCCCAGCCGGGCCACCTGCCTTGGAACCACCTTGTCTGCCATCCTTGGGGGGCCTGTGGGTGGGTCAGAGGGCTCAGTCAGGGAGGGGCGGGTGGCCAGTGGTCAGGAGTGCAGGCAGGCCTGCGTGTGGGAGCCCCCGTCAGCTGCCTGCCTGCCCAGCCCAGGCAGCGGGGGTCTGAAGCCCTGGGCCCTGGCCCCAGCCCGCAGGGATCAGCAGTCTCCCGGATCCCGCCACTGCCGGGATCTGAGCTCCCCGGATATGCCGTCACATCATGTCACGGAGGAGCCAGGATACAGAGGGGCCAGAGTGGCTCACCCAGGCTGCGCGTCCACAGGCGAGCCAGGATGGACCCCCATGTACTCCCCACAGGCAAGGCACACAGCACCAAGTCCGTGTAGCACAAACAGATGTGTCTCATGGTCCGGTCAGTGCCTGGCTATGTGTGCCTGGCCAAGGGCCTCCCTGATGCCAGCGGCACCTTGGCAGGAGGCTGGGCAGAGTGGCACGATAGGGCGGCATGACCCTGAGTCCCTGGGGTCCAAGGGCAAGCAGCAGGGTTCCTGTCTGGCTGGCAGCCCCCTGCCCACTGTCCCCCAATAGGAGAAGCCCAAGTCACCAGCGGGAAGAAACCCACTCCCAGCCCTGTCCCAGCTCACGGCCAGCCTCGGTGCCTCCTGGGTGCAGGGCCAGCAGGCATGGCGAGCCGGCTGCAGAGGACACTGCAGGCGTCCCAGAGAGGTGGGGTCGCATCCTGGCCAAGCCCCAAGGCTCCTACACCTTGGGGCGACCTCAGGGGGCGCTGAGCCCTTACACTCGCCCCGCTGACCGTACCCCCAGACCAGGACAGATGTCTCCGGGCACCCCGCTGCCCTTCCGGGGCCTAGCTCCCAGGATCCCGCCCTCTGGCTGTTGGCCCGGGGTGCTCACTCCACACCATAGCCACTCGGGCCTGGATGGCCTGAATCCTGCGTCCTGGCCTCCCAGAGGAGCCGGCCAGCGGCCGCCCTGAGATGCACAGCTATGGGGCCTGCGGGCAGCACGTGCTCTCAAGAAGCAGCTGGTGTTTCTATGGTGTGTAGGTACCAGCTGGCTGTGTTGCTGGCCTTCCCCTCCAGGACCCAGAGAGTGTCCCTGGGCTTTCCAGAGGCTCCTGGCAGCTTCCTGTGCACCACCTCCCAGCCCCAGGGGACCTGTGCGGAGTGTAGCCCCACACCACTGGTCTGCTCACGGTGAGGGCAGGGGGTGCTGGCCCCCATTCGGATGGAGAGAGCTGACAGCCCAGGGTCTAGGCAGGGAGGGGCCCGGCTTTGCTAGGGGGACGGAGGATTGGGGGGCACAGCAGGGGCACAGCAACACCAGGCCCTTCCCTCTGTGCCCTCTATGCCCACTGGTGAAAAGGGAGCTTGAGGTGGGGGAGGGCCCTACCCAACCCCACCCACCCTCCCACCCACCCCACCAAGCACACCCCCAGGAACGCTTCTGCCTCTGCTAGGGTTCCCCCCACTCCTGCCATGGGGCTCCTAACATGGGCCCCAGGCCATCCCCGCACTCTCAGCCAGCCCCCTCTTGACCAGGCCCCCAGGGCCCCAGCAAGCAGCTGCTGAGACCTACCTCTCCCAAATTTCTCAGTTGCATATGGGGCCCCCCAGACACCCATCAAGTCACAGTGAGACAGTTGCGGGGGTCTCCTGAGGCCCCCCGGCGTGCCCCGGGTCCCAGCCTTACTCCCAGGCAGGCCCTGTCCAACACCTGTCATTGCTTGCAATCCCACTATTCAAAGGGGCACCCCAGACTGCAGGACAGAAAGGGCACCCCCTCAGCCTGCCCCCAGGCTGACATCTGGCTGTCCACACAGGCCCAAACACTGCCTGGCAAGCATAGGGGGCTAAGACAGTGTCCCTCTCTCCCCGGGCTTTCCTGTCCTGGACCCATCCTGGAAGAAGCCTGCATCAGTGGCAGAAAGAGGACCCAGCAGACAGCGCTTCCGGGGCCAGGAGGGGCACCTGCAGCCCTGCCCCTTCCCTGTACCAGGCAGTAGGGTGTGAGGAGTGGGGGTCAGGGGCATCTACAGGGCCGCAGAGACCACAGGCCCCCTCAGCCACTGCGGAGAGGAGGACAGAGCCCAGTGGCTGCCAGACGGACCGGAGGTGTGGCCTCGAGGGCTGGCCTGCGTGCAGGACAAGGGGACAGGCAGGCAGGCAGCCAGAGGCCCCAGCCGGAGCCAGCCTTATCCTAAAGCAAACAGCCCCTTTCCCCTCCCCCTGAGCCGGGCCTTCCCTGCCCCCTCCATCCCCTGCCTCTGCAGAGACCCCAGCAGGCTCACCGGAGGGAGCCCCCCCCAGATTCCTGGGGATTTTGGCCGCCAGTGTGACTGCCACGGCTCTATATTTAGCTCAGGAAACACAAGCCCCCATTGTTCCACCTGGTCAGGTGCCCGACCCACCCAGCCAGAGGCAAACTGAGGCAAGACCTGAGGCAGATGGGCAGCTGGAGGGTGTGCAGGGGGCGGAGCGGGGGCAGTTTCCCACCAGCTCCAGGGCAGCCTCTGGATCCTTCAGCACAGGCACTTTCCCCACAAGCACGACCTCCAGGAAGCCCTTGACCTTCCATGAGCCCCAAGCCACAGCCTTGAGGAATTTCAGGGGGCATGGGCAGGATGTGCATGGCCATGTGGAGGGGGTAAATGGAGGCTGGGGCTGGGTCTCACCCCTCAAGGGGGCTAAACATCAATGCGGTAGGCAGAGAGAGGACCACCACACCCCCTTCTCCCTCTCTCCTTCCCGCCCTACCCCATCCCCAAAGCTGTGACAGCATACTAGAATGGGGGTGTGGGGAAGGGTCAGGGGCAGCAACCAGGAAGACCCCATATATCCAGCCTACACTTCCAGGCTTCCCAGCCACCACCCAGAACTCAGGTGCCACACAACCACCTGATCACGCCATCTCCAGACGCTGTCCCCAGGCACATGGGCTGTCCCCCAGACACACAGGTTGTCCCCCACTCTCTCAGACACTGTCCCCAGACACACAGGTTGTCCCCCACACTGTCCCCAGACACACAGGCTATCCCCCAGACACTGTCCCTAGACACACGGACTGTCCCCTAGACACTGTCCCCCAGACACACAGGCTGTCCCCCAGACAGTCCCCAGACACACAGGCTGTCCCCCAGATACTATCCCCAGACACAGGCTATTCCTCAGACACTGTTCTCAGACACATGGGCTGCCCCCCAGATGCACACACCCTACCCACAGACAGGCTCCCAGGCACACGCACATACACAGTCATACACCAATAGTAGAGGCAAACTCCCCACACCAGAGACCCCCTTGCCCCACCTGCCATGAGGACGGTTGCCCAAGGGTTAAAACACTATAACCTCAGCTGATGCTCCTCCTATCCCAGCAGAGCCCAGGAGGGCTGAAAGAGCAGGGGAGCTGGGACGGATGGAGGGGTGACACATGCTGGAGGGCTAGGGACAGGACCCCAGTGGCAGTCTAGCCCATGCAGTTTCCACACACCTTCGGGGGCCACCTGAAGCGCAGCCCCCCACACCTCCCTAACCCTTACAGCCTCTACACTGCCCATCCCTTCCTGGTATCTCTCCCCAACACCCTCCCCAGCCCCCCTAGGGGGCTGCAGTGTCCCTCTTGGGGTGGCCTGCTCTGGCCGCTCCATCTGAACCACAGCCGAGCCCCCATCCTGTTCAGGTTTGTCTCGGGCCTGGCTGTGGGGTCATTGCCTGTGCCAGCCTCTCCCTCTCTCCGCCGCCCAAGGCATTCGTGACCTGCTGACCCCGAGCAGCCTTCATGAGGAGCTGGGCCAGACACCAGCCCTCCCGGGGGCCCCAAGTGCCAGTCCACGCTGCCCACACAGGGGCCACGGACACGGGTGGAAGTGAGGGGCTGCAGGAATCAGCTGGTCAGTACATCAGAGCTCACTCCATTCCCAATCAGCCCTGAGAAGCCCTGGAAATGGCCAGCCTGGAAGGAACCCTCTGGCTGGGGTTGGGGAGCCATCAGGCTGACCTTGTTGGGACTGGCTGGGAAGGGACTTTGGATGGCCAGCTGGAGCCACTGGAGCCCTCTCCTCCTTGAGAAGTCAAGTGGTCTGGAAAAGAGGACTCAAAGGACACTGTGACAGGGCCTGACGGGGGGGCAGGGAAGCGAGGTAGGTCCCGTCTAGCCTGGCTGTACGCTCTGAACCAGCAGAGGCAGGGGGACACTCTCCAGCAGAGTGGGGGTCCCTGTACTGGTCCCCGTGGTGGGTGAACACCACGCAGAGGTGGACCTGGGGCCAGTGCCCTCCCCAAGAAGACAAGGGCTGGGAGGCTGAAAAGAGGGGGCCCAGATAAAGACCACCCCAGGACAGCCATGAGAGGCAGGGCTTAGCCTCCGCCCTGGTTCTGAGCCACTCTGGTACACGTGTGCACACACATGCGCTCCCAATCACCAGCAGGCCCAGGGCGGCCCCTGGGGGCTGGACTCATGGGATCTATCCATGGAACTGGTAGGACCCACAGGGCGGGCAGTTGCCCCAGAAGCCAGGCTGTCTGGGTGCAACAAAGGGACAGCCTGACCCACTGAGTCAGCAAGCTGTTCGCGGTGTCCGGCCCGACACACCGCCCGGGGAGCAGCACCATGGAAGGCGACAGGCCGGTGGGGGGGACCATCCAGGTCTGTCCCCAGCCCTGGAAGCCCCAGGCAGACCTCCAGCCCAGCCCTGACCAGGGCTCTTCCTCCTTGACACTCCCAAGACACACACGGGGGCCACAGAGCACTCCCTGACAGGCTGCTGCCCTGGCGAGGGGGTCCCCACAGGAACTGCCAACAGCTAACGGCACCCACACCCAACACCCACAGCCCCAGGACCAGTCTAGATGGCTCAGTGGCACACCCCGGTGGCTGCGTCCAGAGCCTGCCAAGTCCACAGACTCCAAGCTGACCCCTGCCCCCCTCCCCCACCTCAGAAAAACATCATGCACCTAGAACTGGTCTAGCATCACCACCTCCCTAGAGGGGCCCAGCCCCAGCCCCAGCCCCGGAGCCAAGAAGGACCTGGTCCCCTGGGTCTCCCTCACAAGCTGGCGCTGGACCCTGGGGACAGGGTAACAGGACAAGAGGCCCAGCGCACCCAGGGCCCTGCCTGCCATGGGCTTGAACCCATGTGACACGGTGTTTCCTGAGCCTGGAACCCCGGGTCAGAGGTTGGCACCAGTGCTGCTCCTCCCTGTGAGGGCTCAAGCACCGGACGGCCCAAGCCCCAGGCCACAGAGCCCCGCACTCCCACCCACACCAGCTTCATCCACCCCAGGGTCCCAGCCAACAGCCCACAGCCAGCTTCTTGCTGACAGACTATAGGTACGAGGCTGTGGCACACTGGGACCCCTGAGATCTCCACAGGCTGCAGGGCACAGAGCACCCGCTGCCAGGCTCCACAGTGAAGCCCACGGTCCCCACCAGACCAGGCAGGCCACTACAGAGTGCCAGGGCCAGCCAGTGGCCCAGCTGTCCTGAGGCTCAGCATGGTGGGGTCAGAGGAGATCACCGCCCAGGGCAGTCCCAGGCCAGAGCTGGGCACAGCATCCTCTCCACCACCTGCTGCCCCAGGCCCCGTTATCTCTTCATAGTGCAGGACTTGTGTAAATCTCTAACAAACTGGGGAAGAAAGCCATTGTTTCCTGCCACGAAGGGAAGCCCTGGGCATCAGCAGGTCCCAGGCTGGAGCACCTCCCTGCCACACTATCCCCTGCATTCCAGGGACAGACCTGGGAGCCCCTGACTCATGCTGGTTCTCCCCAAGGGGGCCGGTTCCTGTGGGACAAAGGGACCCAGGCCCACCAGCCTCGAGGCCCTGGCCCAGCAACTCACTGGGGACAGGAAGCTAGCCCCCAGGATGTCCCCAACCCCTTTTCCCTGTACCCCAGCCAACCAGCCTCTCAGCCCAGTCCTGGCCTATTCCCACTCCTGGCCCCCATCCAGCTACACCAGGGCATCTGCAGCCCCAAGATGTCCACCCTGGTCAGTGAGATCCGCCCACCTCTGCCCACGCTCTTCCCTCACCCGAAGGCCATTCTCCCCTCACCTGACCAGTACCCATACCACCTTCCGGGCTGTGCTGCCCACGTCTCTCCCCATGCCCCAAATCCCCTCCCCCAGCCTTCCTGGACTGTGGACCGTCTGGATGCAGACCCAGCCTGAACTAGCCCAGGACAGTGGCTCCCACTGCCCTCGGGCCCCAAGAGTAGCCACACTGAACACCCACAGGCTTGACCAGGAGCACACAGTGACCACCACTTGAAAGACAGATGGCAGGCAGGGTGGGGTGGCAGCATGGGCCAGAGGCTGTGTCCTGGACATGCCAGGGCTACGGTCACTGGAATGGTACAGAAGGCCCGCCACCAGCAGCAACGCGGCCAGCAGTGAGACTCCCGGCCCACTAGGACCACCGCCTGCCTCCGCCAGCACTCTTAGCAGTGTCCAAACCCCAGGCCGGAGGCTGAGGCCACTGCTGGGAAAAACCAACATTTCCCCATGGCACTGGGCGGGGGTTGAAGGCCCATTGATTCCCGCACAATGAAGAAGGAGCCTGCGGTAGGAGTTTCCAGGCCCAGCCAAAGGCGACTTTGTTCATGGCTCCCTCCTCCCCCCAGAGGGGACAGTGATTTATTTTCTCTTCCAGGAGTGGGGCCCGAGACATAAATGGGGCGGCTGGCCTGCATCCCCACCTCACAGCGCCTGGGCCCAGCTCCCGCACATCCACCTCAGCTGGGGCTGCCTGGCGGGGTGGGGGGAAGCCCCTGCGGCCTGGCCAGAGGCCAAGCAAGGTCAGCCAGCGCACACGCACACGACGACAGCCCTCCTGACGGCCGCGCGTCCTCCGCACGCCCTCACACACACTGGTGGGCCCTTCCCAACACAGCCCAGACGGCAAGAAGTCACTATGCCCGCGGCGTGGGGCATCCAGCAGCCAGTGCCCGGCCCCGGGGGCCGCACTAGGCCCTCCCAGGGCACACCAGCATAGTCCAGGGGACAGGAAGGTGACTTCGAGGGCTGGCTGTCCAGAGACCTGTCCACTGCTTCCCCTGTGGAAAAGCTCAAACCAGAGAAGCCCTTCCACAAGTTCTTCTAGAGCTCTCTGGGAAGGGCAAGGTCAGCAGAGCTGCTCGAGTTCCCACTGTGAGAAACCCAAATCCTATCTTCCCTCCAATTTAGAAAATGCTGTTGAAGACAAACCCACCCTGATTGTGAAACTTTCAGAAAGGGGAACTTTGAAAACATGATCTGGTATAGAGACGGGCTAACTGTGGAGAGTGTGACGCACAGGGAAGATGGCTCTCGGCAAACAGCCTGGCCCTCTGGGGGCGCGCCCAGAGTGACCGTGCCCCTCAAGGCCAGGCTGGAGGGGAAGCCAGCACTGTTCAGGAACAGGGGCCTCATACCCCACCCCCAAAGCCACACAGGACCTTGCCCTTGGAGAGTGGGTGCCAGGGCAGTGCACACCCGGCATGAGGGCCAAGGCTGGAGACGAGGCGCAGCCCCAAGACAAGGCTGAGGGAAACAGAGCAGGGTGTGGCCCCTCCAGGGCCCCATGGCACTGAGGCAGGCCCTGCTGCCCGCTGCCGTTGCTGCCATCCGCCACTCTGCGTCAGGATCCAGCCAATGACCAGGCCAGGCCAGCGGCCTCCAGAGCTCCCTGGCTGAGCAGCCAGAGGACAGGCAGGTGTGGGATCGAGGGGAGTCCAAGCAGATGAAAGAGGGATCAGAATCCAGGCTGCCGGCCACTGGCGGGCGGGGGGGCCTTGCTGCATATGACCTGAGTGCCTGCCGTGCCCAAGACACTGCCAGGCCCAGCCACGCCTGGGCAGCCCCCACCAGGCCACCAGGCCAGTCCCTAGCCGGGCAGGCGGGGGGGTACTGTGGCATTAGGCCCACCTGGGCTGCCGCCTGCCACCCAACTCCCGAACGTGCCCATATAAGGCCGGGCTGGGCTCGGTGTACCCGCTGGGTGGCGGGGGGGAGGGGTGCGAAGCCTCAGAGGACTGGTGGACAGGGCAGGGACGTTCCTGAGTGGTCAACACACCCAAAGGGCTGGCCCGGCCAAAGGGCCCGCCTAGCTGAGAAGAGGCCAGTGCAGAAGATGGCGGGCGGGAGTCCGTGAACGCTTATGTCCCATCACCCGTCAGCCAAGGCTATACCTTGCTGGGGCTGGGTACAGGGGCGAGCGTCCCTCGGGAGACGTTGTAGGCCTGCCCACTGGGACATCAGGTGTGTGAGCTTGCATCTGAGTCCTGGAATGGAACACGCCCACACACAGTATGTAGCCTGAAGCAGGTGGTCCTCTGGGTCTGCCTGGAGACAAGCCCCCACCCCCTACACCATGCAGCAACTCCATGTTTTAGACACTCAATCCCCCAGCCCCCCACCCTATATCTTCCCAGGGATGAGCCAGCTCAGGGCACAGGGCTGGGTCATGAGTCCCAGACACTAACAATGTCCCCACTGTCCCCAAACCGCACCCTGGCCACCATGGGGGTCTCTGGGTCTAGTTGGGTCCTCATAGGGGCCTAACTGGGTTCATTGTGCCAAACAGCCTACCCCACAAAAATCCTCAGGGTAACCAACTGCCCTCAACCTCAGGTACACATACAAATATGCATGTGTCCTGAGAGGCACTGGGGCCAGAGTCCACTCTACCAGCAAGTGTGGGGTCCCACAGGTGAGCCGGGGTGACCTTTGGGTGAGAGGGGCCCTGCGGGTGAGGTGTGCCCCCTCAGTGAGCATAGAGTCCCAAGGGTGAGCTGGGAGTGAGCTGGGGCACCCCACGGGCAAAGGGGGATGTACCTTCTGGCTGAGCCTGGGGGCCCAGAGGGTGAGAAGACCCACCAAGCTCCCGGCCAGTAGGGGCGGGGCGCAGGCACGCGCGCCAGCCGGGCACTGTGGCAGGGTTCAGGCCCGGGAGGGAAAGGGGCGGCGCTGGCGCAGGCCGGGGCGCCGGGCTGGTAGCCAGGACTCACCTCGGGCGGCGGCGGCCGGCGGGAGGGCCCCCAGCAGCAGCGGCGGCAGCAGCAGCAACAACGTGGGGCTGGGCGTCATCTTGGCCCGTCCGGACCTGGAGGTATTGAGGGTCGGTCACTGGTGTACAGGGTAGGAGTCGCCACCTTCTAGCCTAGGGCCCCGGGGCCGCCAGCACCCCAGTCCCGGGCTGCGAGGGTCTGGGTGCGGGCCTCCCCGCCCTCCCTGCCAGCGCTCCGGGCGGAGGAAGCGGCGGCGGGGAGCACCGCGGGTATCAAAGGCAGACAAAGGGTTTACACTAATTACCGGCCTCCCCCGCCGCCCCCCGTCTCTAAACACCGTCTGGATTTCTGGCGCTTGTAACTCGGGCCCTGCCCGCGGGACACACAACACCGGCGGCCGCGCACATAATCGCCTGCGCCATTAGCGGACAAATTTGCGCTTGGGGGGGGCCCACGTGGGGTGCAGGGGCGGGGGCGGGGCGCGGACAGGACCACTGGCGGGGCAGGGTCGGCGGCGGCGCGTGCGGTGCCCGGCGGCCTCGCACCCTGTATTCCGGAACCCGTACCCTCCCAGCCCCCGGCCAGATCCCGGACCCCGGACCCCGATCCTCCGGGGCAGGCCCTCCCAGTCGGCCCCCCGGGGGTCGCGGGCGCGCGGAGGGTCTCACCTCGGCGGGGCAGGCAGGCAGCGGGGCTCAGGGCCGGGCCCGCGGGACGCGCTGCGCGGTCATCGCCGCCCCGGGCGCCGCACCCCGGCGCCCCGCGCCCCCGGGCCCGGCCTCGGGACGGGGCGGCGCTACCTGGGCGCGGGCGGCTCGGGCCAGGACCGGCGCCGAGGCGGGTGTCCGGAGGCAGCGCGGGAGGAGGGGTCGAGTCCAGGGGCTGGAGGCCGGGGCCGGGGTCCCGGGGCGGCGGGGCGAGGGGCCCGGGGCGCCGCGCCGCGAGGCGTCCTTCCCTGCGGGGCTTTGTCAACTCTCCCGGAGCGAGCGCCGAGCCCGCCGCGCGCCCCGCCCCGACACAACTTCCCTCCAATCGGCTCGCCCCGGC